TACCTTCTCTTTCTTCTATTGATGCTCTACCTAGATCCCACCCCTCCCGAACCCGTCATCCCTCCCCAAGCCAACCAGAACACCGCCGACCTCCCCGAACCCTGGTTTGACCAACCCCTCTGTTAACACTTCCCCAGACTATCCACATCCGCAGCTCCCTTCCTGACTCGTTACTGGGATTCCCATCCGTCTTCGTCTTCAACAACGCTTGACTTGGTCTGCTTCCCCGCAAATTCCGGGTCTCAGCACCAGCGGGCCCCATTTCGCACGCGGATTTGGTCCTTGGCCAGATAGATCCCCGGCCTGCCAGATTAGCCCTCCCGCTAGCAACAGGACAACCGTGAACCGTGAACCGTTCTCTGGCCACGCAGCTGGCTTATCTTGGCAGCCAGTCCATCCTATGCCAGCCTGCCCGGATTTTGCAACCGTCCCACGAGCCATGCGTCGTGTTGTGTCACGAGAAAGCTTAATGGTGAGAGGCTTGCTCCATTGGTGATGGCTACGTTGATCAAGGTCCAACATTTCTTTTGCCAGATAACACAGCACCGGCCACAGATTTCATTGCCACCTCTTCCGCTTGTTCGCTGCGCCAAAGCACCTGGCAAGCTACCACTGCAGGTCGCTTCCCGGAGGTCCGGCTCCGCGCCGCGGTAGTGTGAAGCTCCTGGTGGACCCTGAACTCGCGGCACAGCATCTCAACCAGCCAGCAACATGTGCAACAACGGTCATGCGCCCGCTTCTTCTCCAATTCCTGTAAGTTCTGTTACCCCGCCTTGTTTGAATCAAACTCCGAGGTGGTGGGCAAGAGTTCACTCGCAGGCCAATCTCGATGCTCTCTTATCTCTTGCTCAATTCGGGCTTCCCTGTCAGTAAGCATGGACTAGTGATGAGGGGTGACGAAATGATTGTCACCGAGGGTGATGTCAAGCGGTTGCGTAACCTCGCTAGGCTGTCAAGGAAAATGAGACCACAGAGATTGCCCAATCGTTACCGTGTGCGAGGGCATTAGTTCCCTCGAAGGAGGCCGTTGTCTCTGTTGTTATCTGTCAGAAGGCCTAGGTAGCTGAAGTACCCAAGCTGAGACTAGGCAATGGCAGGGTTGCAACACATCCAGGTGCCAGTCAGTCAAGCCAACTCTATTTCAATGGCGTTGGCAAGATGATCTCGCCTTAAGAAGTAGATACCTATCCTATCAACTCAGTTCCGGGTGTGAACTGCGTATGTGTACGGAACGAGGAAGTTATGGGTGTAACCCACGTTGCCCACGTTGGGTGTAAGTAGAGAGGGGCGTTTGTATAACCAAGACCACATTCCAAATCCATCTTTTCTACCGTCAACATTCTAACAATCATTGCTAGGATGCATAAGAATATGTATAGCATTTCTGCACACATGGTGTTGAGATTATGTAGGAGTGTTAAGCTTTGACTCAACATCGTTGTTTCGGTCCTGAAGTATTGAGCTAGGAATGATAGCATAGCTTAACTGTTCGTATGTAGTCGAATCTATGAAATACCACTTGAAACACGTTCTACTGGGCAAGTCACCCCCTTTGACTATGGAATCGGCAACATCACAAGCTGCCTGCCACCTAAGCAGCATCACTTTGAGCCATGATGTCCTTCATCGCCGCGAGTCGATCGCCCTTGATCTGGGCAATCTCCTCAGCCTCCGCCTTCTGCAACTTGGTCATGTACTGGGTGAACGCGTTCCCAAGCTTGAGGACCTTGTTGAAGTGGCTCGCGTCCGGCTTGACCCCCTTATCTTCCGCCAGTGCCAACGCGCTCCTGACGCAGTTGCGGATTTGACGGCCGTTGAGGGGCTGCGAAGCCCAGGATTTGGTCACTTCGCTGCCTAGCGCCTTGCACTCGTCCCGTGAGAGAAGGGCCGGTGAGCCATCGCGGCGCTTGCGGCCGAGGTCTTGGATGAAGATCTTCCAGACTTCTTTGCGAAGGGGTTCGTCGAATTCTGGCATGCCGATTGTGATGTGGATTCTGGATTGGAAGGCTTGGTCGAAGGCGCCGATGCGGTTGCTGGTTAGGAACATGATGCCGTTGAAGTATTCCAACGTTCTGAGGAAGACTGCGTTTGAAGTCAGCACTTGGCCATGGCTCTGTTGGTTCGGAGTTCGTAAGAAGACTTACTGGATACCAGCGCGTTTCTTTGTAGATTGTCGTAGTCTCGGTCCTGCAAGAAGATGTCTGCTTCGTCAAGCAACAGTATGGCATCCCATTCTACGGCATGGTCGAAGATCTTCGACAACTTCCCCTCGAGGGTCTCGGGGTCTGTCCCAAGATCTCCTGCGGTTACCATGTAAAGAGGCTTCTTGAATGATTCTGCAACGCACTCTTTTGATTTTGTGTCAAAATCCGTTCTCATTAACCCGCTTAGGAACACATACCTGCGGTCAAAGTTTTGCCGACGCCTGGAGGCCCATGAAGAAGAATGACCAAGCCCTCGCCTTTTCCGTCAACAAGATCATGGAAATTAGTACTATGCGCGAGATAGGACTTGACCATAGCCCATATGACTTCTTTGTACTCCGGTTTTAGGACCAGTCGCTTCCATGCATCGACTGCAAATTGCACCGGTTTGAGGTCAACGACCTGGTACAAAGCTTCATATCAGTTAGCTCTACTCCGAAAGCGTACGATGCTTGCAAGGACATACCCCATCCTTTGTCACGGAGACTGAATGCACGTACGACATTAGAGCAAAGCATGAGAGCCAGCTCATCCGGTTTAGTCGTTGGCGAAATGCTGTCGTAGTTACGAAACCAATTGCCCCGCGTATCTCCTACTTCTTCGGCCTCGGTTCGCATGAGGACATCATCAGGCTCGTAACCTATCCCGCCATTCTCAGTCGTCTGAGAAATATCAGATCCTCTTCCAGCCCTTTCGCTCCACTTTGCGATAGCTTCGCGTTTGTTGTACACGGTTGATGGAGCGCGGGGGAACTGGCCTTCATCCATTGCACTGTCGACCTGTGTCTCCACAATTACTCTCATTCTGGGACCCCCATCATGGCCATGTGCTTTGGATGTTACCAATTGTTGAAATCTAGATGTCGTTTTCATCTCCCAGTAGCTCTGACCTCGAGAGACTGCAAATGCCCTGACAGCATCTAGATCCTCCATGAATCTTGCCGGTACGAAATGTAGTTTTGCGATCTCTTTTCCACCATGGAATCGCTCCATGTTACATACACAAGGGTGTTTGACGAAGACGGACCGCCGCGGACTGTATTCAATTGACCAGCAATGTAGCAGCAGATGTCCTTGGTACATTCCCGGGGGTGCCGTGCTGATACTCGGGTAGTCGACGATGCAGCACTGGGTCTCCAGGCCCCGAATTCTGACGAAAATGGGTTCGCCTGGTGTATAAAGCATCCAGAGGTCGTCATATTGGACAAGAGTGCTGGGACCGGCCGATTTCAAGGCCTTGAGTCTCGACCGGGTTTCATGGAAGATTGGTTTGAGAAAATCTAGGATCGTCTTAGAAATGGCAAGATTATGTGTCGAAGCTTTGGTATCATTGGCAGTTGTAGATTCTGGCGACGCGGTCGATACCTTCCTCTCCAATGCGTCTAAGCGGAGGAAAAGCGACACATACGGTGGATAGAAAACGATTCCTCGACTTGTCGCCTTTTCAGAAAAGGGGAAGGGCTCGAGGCCCCTCAGGAAATCGCTAAATTCCCACCAGTCTACCTCGATTCTTTCTGGCCGGACTTTTCCGAATGCATCCACATGATGGTAGAAAGTGACCTCTGGTATCTGGGCCGTATCGGTATGTTTCTCGTCTTCCGATGGCACGCCGACTAGCTGAACCGTTTTGAAGCGCCCCTGACGATCTCTGTATGATCGTAATGTGGCATGGCCGATTCCGACACCGAACTAGTACTCGTGAGACATGTATCGTGAAAGAAGCCATTGCGTTAACATACTTCGTTGATTTCTCGAGAAGGAGCGGAAGTATCGGGTTTCTTTCTACTTCCACTTTCATGTGTTGTCATATGAATCGACGGAGCTGGAGACTCATCAATCTCGCTACTGGGAGAATCTCGGTAACTGCGGTTTGCGCGCTCATCTGTTTCGCTAGGGCCGTGTGAATTGTCGGATCCTGAGTGCATGGCGGCGGGTTAAGTCGGAGTTTTGTCAGTCAATGAGTCGTTAAAATCCAGAGCAAGCTTTCCAGTACCGGTAGATGGCCCATTGGCTATGCAAGCTGTTCATTTATAACATAATTGCCTCTAGCTCGCCTAAATGCTCGCTCCGTAGGCGAGGCTACCGTCTGTAGTATGTTCTCAGCAGGCACAGCTTATGTGATTGCGACTATCTTAGTGAAAGACAAATGGAATCGACCCAACCAATCGATCAAGTGTGCTGTGAAGCAGTTTCTACCTGTAGTATGGTGTGCGCATGTTGAAGCAGGCTTTGAGCAGCAGCCATCCTGCATCGTATGTCGTATGACACCCTATCAGGCCGCGTGCTCCGTCACCTCTATTTCTACGACTCGTAATCTTCTCAAACCACTCATGTGTTGCCAAAAGCTCTCTAAATCTGATCCCTTCCTATTTCCCTCCGAGAACATGCCTCCAATATGGGCGAGCTGCTGCGTTCCCAACTTTTCAGTAGTTTCATTGGTCAGCCTGATTTATTGCTGCTACATAAGCTGCATATGTGCGCTGCACCCAGAACATGGCGCTGTTTAAGTGGGATCAGGTAGTTCAAGTCTTGCATATGTACATTTCAGGCAAAGAGTACTTTGTGCTGCAATAGTACTGACGACAAGCTTGGCAGTCATGCAGATTACGAGGGCATGCACCGTGATTAATTAATGAACCCACATCTTTCCTCAACTGGCCATTTCAATGCTCTCTTGAAGACATCGATTTGGCTACCCATATTTCTCTCATAGTGTTTGTTATAAGGGCGTTCTCAAAGCCATGTCTTTGATCGTGCACTGCTAAGGAATCTCATGGAAATAAATGTCGACCGCAACATGAGCAGCAGGCTATCCAGTGTCAGCGAGCCCTCAGACCAGAGTGGCTCTCTGAGGCGAACGATCAGGCTGGGCCATCCACCTGCAAAAACACTCTCCAGGCCACGACTTCGTGACGGGAAATTGAGTCAACTTCTCGAAAAGACTAAGCCAAAGAAACGCCAATCCATGGATGAGGCAGAGCTCATAGAGTCTTTGAAGACGCTTCAAGGAACTCAGGTATTTGTGACAGACACGACACTATCTCGCACCCAAAATAGGACTACAGTCGACACGAACAGAAATGCATGGGCCCTTGATGCGACCGCTAACCCATCTTTGAGAGACAAGTTCGAACAGCTGGGGTTGGCGGTAAGCGAATACAATATTGCTGCGTCTCGTGAAAAACGCGAGATTGTGATCAAAGATGGCTGCAAGCTTCAAGATGTACTAGCTCAGGCAAACGCCTTGCAGGAGGCCAGATCTACAAACAAAGACGATAAAAGCCTCAACAGCAGCATACAGGCAGGCTTGCAGCAATTTTGCAAATCGACTCTCCATTATGCTGCAGTCATGGATACACTGGCACAACATCATCCTGAATGGGTCAGTCTAGCTTGGGGAACGATGAAGCTGTTGCTCATGATTCCGATCGAGTACCAAAAAGTCAAGGAAGGTATTGTTACCAATCTTGGACGTATAGGGAGTAAGCTGGAGCTCGTGAGCCTACTGTTGTCTTTCTATCCAGTTGAGAGAATGACAAATGCGGCTGCGGCCATCTACGCGTCGATCGCAGATTTCCTGGCATTTTGTCTCCGGTACTTGCGTAGTAATTGTTTAGGTACAAAAACTTCCGATAAAAGCTTTATGTATTCACGTTGCTGATGATGCAATCTCGCCCGCCACCAGTCAAAACCTTCAAGACGATGGTCGCACCTTTCGACACCAGGCTCGGGCCCATTCTCAAGACCATTGACGAGAATTACGCCATCCTGAGACAAGAAGCTGAAATCCAGTTCATGATATATCAGTTTCAACGACACTGCAGTATGCAGAGAGATTTATTTGAGATCAAAGAAGATCATGGGCGAATCATTGGAGTACTAGAAGGTACTATCGACATTAAGGGCCGATTCCAAGACCTTGTTCAGAGCTAATACGTCTGATACAGAGATAATTCGTAGGGATGACATGGATCGAGAAAGAAGAAGCAAAACGATAGATGGTCAGTGCCAAAATGTCAACACCAACTGGAAGTTCTAACGTTTCTCTCAGCATCTGAGAATCTTGACCGGAAACTTCTGAAACCGCCCGAGCTCGAGATATGCGATGATTTCTTTCAGGACCTACTTCCCCTGGACAGAAATCTACATCAAGTCCATTTCCAATTAGATCTGCTACCAATGTCTTATTTGGTAGAGAGCAGCAATGTCCTTCGTCTTCCTTCATTCCAGTCATGGCTAAGCAGTTCAAAATCTGGTCTTCTGTGGGTAGATGGGTATGAGATACCTCGCCGCCCTAGCTGGACGACGGACTTGTCTCAAAAGATTGTGCGTGCAGCTACGGAGAGCGGCTACGATACACTTTCGTATTTCGGGAGCCTACATCGAGGGAGTGACGACGATGCACCAAAGCCGCGCGCTCTCGTGCAGAGCCTGCTTTTCGGCATGCTTCAGAAGTTTCCAACAGTGACTTCACATGGCGATCGGAAGCTATTCAACGCCGAGATCTTCGTTGCTGCTAAATCAAACCTGGACCTTTCATGGAGAATCTTCGTGGAATGTCTGCGCGCTCTTCCATCTTCCACCATCTACATCATGATAGAAGGCGTTGATCACTTCAGCGTGGCTGGGGATCAAGCTACCGAGTTCGAATCTTTGCTGAAACGCCTAAGCACATTGTCAGCTGCTCTATTGGATGATAAAGTAGTCAAGCTTGCCTTGACGTCTGTTCGACCAAGCGCAGGATTTCAGCACCTGTTTCCCAACCTAGAGAGACTCGAGGTTTATCATGACCACAAGCTACTTATACGCGTGCCAGCTGCAGCCGCGCGAAGACGCAAACCCCGATCAAAGTTGCAGAAGAAGAGACAATCGCCCCTTTATTCCCCAGGACCAACGTTGGAGCCAGAACCGACTGATATGGGTAGCGACTTTGCCCCTTCTGACTCAAGTGTGGACAGAGGCGGCAATGTCAGCGACTCAAGCTCAGACTTCGATATCTTTGGTAAAGGCAAGAGGGAGATAGGCCGTGTGAGATCCTCTTGGTCAAGTCCGACTCCTGAACATGGCCGGGCGAGTCCTCTTCAACTTGATTCGGGGAAGAAGGCGAAGTTGGCGGGAGAACAAGAGGCCGAGGATTCCGACAGCTCATTCGAAATATATGAGGCGCCTACTGCTGCGTTGCCTGAGCAAAGCCCAGCCAGCGAAGGAGACCTTTCGGATTTTGCACCATGAAGGAAGGCTAAATTCGGGGTTTTACGCTTTGTGGTCAAGGTATCAATCAGGCAAAGTTACTCGTGCTTTCGATGTTCATAGAGCCCGACTTCATGCTTTAGTTTATAGTTACTCGGATGAATTTTGTCGAACATGACTATCAACCAGAGAGAGTCAACAATCTGTCCTTAGATCCGAGCCATGAACAGTACTGTCCGGAAAGTCAATAGATCTGCCATAACTTTTACAAAGAACTTTTCCAGTCCTAGTGACAACACCAAGACGAGAAGATGCATGCGTCGGAAACGAGAGCGAGTTCGTCTTCCGTTTGATATGGCGCAATGATGAAGCATACTTAGTACTGCGCGTATTTCATGATCATGTGAGTAATCATCTTTCTCGAGATCCGTCTCAAACCCGAGACACTGACGCCGGCCACTTTTGATCAAGAATCGGCAGACTTACACCGAAGGAGATCTCCGAAAATCACCTCATCGAGCGCGGCACGGCCTGTGGGTTGCTGCGGCTGGCCAATGACCAGGATGACCCGAGTTCAACATATTGACGCACCCATCTTGCCGGATTTCCGACCACGCGTCACGCCGGAAGCAGTAAGTTGACTGACAAATAAGAAGGTTTGGTTTGATCTACGAGTAAACTTCGACTCAATTCTTACCGCGTCGATGCCTTCACCAAATTGAGCGCCTTGCAGAATGACAGATGCGGAAAGCAGGCTGTGCAATCTTCGCACCTTGATGAGACCGTTGACGTGTGGCCTGTTCGTCATCTCCGAAAGACAAGGACTGCTTCTACTTTTCACTTGGGGAGTCTCACGACAAGCATCAACTAGTGCCGGGTATGCCCTCAAGCTTAAACGCGCATTTTCAAGACGGACACTGTCTAGCGAAAACTCCGATTTTCCAGCTACTAGACCCTTGCTGACCAACTGTATCAACGGACATTAACTTGGGCAGACCATCCCTCAGTGTAAGTCAATCGAGTAATGTGAGAGCAATGCATTATGATATGTGAGTCGTTATAGTGATGACCGCCCAGAAACTGATCGACGAACGACCTTGACGGGTGCAGCATTGACGAGTCCTTGGCGAGGCCCGTCTTAGCGAAATTGTTGGGACGACGACGATCTTGTGAACAATTATCCGAAGACACAATCTTCAGACGATTACCAGCAAATTTGATCCGTTCGGAAACCGCGTGGGACTCAATGTGGGATAGGTATTACAGTTCTCCCTTCCTGCCCCTTCATTACAATATGATGTGGAATGAGCGTCCCGGAGCCTTAATTCTCCAACATGGCTAAAACGACAATGAAGGGGAGGCTTAGCAGTTTTCGCACTAGTTGAGAGTTTCAAGCAACTTTTGAGACCCTGCTACTGCGGTAGTGCCGCTCTTGATTCATGTCACCAGAGCTTAAACTCTCCCTTCCCTCCACTTCCGGCAGGGGACAAACGCAAGGCGGAGAAAAGATGGAGGCCGGCCGAGGAGACCGCGGGCAGCGTGTTTACAAGCCTCGTGCTTCCATATTACGGATAACGGAAACGGCATCTTTTGCCTTGCTCCTCAGCACATGCAGGGTCCGTCCCAGTTTTGAGATCAGCCCACCAGCGAACCTGAGACTCGGCGAACTTTGTTTTCCTCGTTGGGCTGGCTTGATTCCAGCCCTTTGGCAACCTCTCTGCACGCACGCTCTGATTCTGGATTGACTCTGGGAAATGTAATCACCACGTGTGGACATGTAGTGATTATCGGCTGCCTTTCTAAGAATCGGACGCCGCTAAGGTACCGAAGGGGGCGGAGCGTAATATCTTCAGCTTACTTTCGAACTCACCATAGAAGTTCAGTTTTCTGAACCAAATGAAGAATTGTGATTCATATTTCCCTTTGCTTCTTTGTGTCCTGTTGAGCAAGTCCACGCGAAACAACTACTGAATGACGAGGCCGACATGTCTTGGCGTCTTGACTGATCTTGCCAAGCCACCAAACATGTTGCCTCGAAATCGGGTCCGGTTGCTCAAGCGATTGGCAGATTGTTTATAGAAGCAATTGAAACCTGCTCATTCGGCAGGGCGATATATCGGACTCCGAAGCACCAGCCAGACGAGTCATCGACGCAAGAAGAAGGCGAGTGACCACTATGCGAAATGATCAGACTTGTAGCAGATGATCTGAAGGCCTCTAAAATTCGGCAAAAGATGAAGTAGACCTGACACTCAAGTGAACAAAAGGATGGAAGTTAGGAGGAGTAATGCTAGGTCCAGACCGAGGGAACAGAGCCGAGGGTTGGATGAATTTGGTGTGAACACTCGTTCTCGCCAAGAATTGTGACTGGCGCTTGTGGTAGAACGCTTCCAACAACTGGATGGAGATCTTCAGCCGTCTGTCGGTGCCAGTGATCCATGGACCAGCTTCAAGAAGAAGCACTCAAGAAGCTCGCGCGATGGGAACGATTCTGGTTGGTGTCTTGACGCATTGAGCAGAAAATTCGTATACAGAGCAGCCCCAAGGCGAGCGAGGTGAAACGCGATGTGCGGCGATCCCAGCCAGCGACTGGCTCAAAAGATCAGCCCAAAACACTTGCGGGTAAACCTTCTTCTCCTTCGAATCCACCCCAAAGCTTGTCTCTCTCGGTTCAGACATCAGACGGGCCGGGCGATGCGCGCGGGGTGACCGTTGTGGACACCCACATTGTGAATTGAAGCTTCACCCGAGAGCGAAACGACCCCTGAAAGCATCGCGATGACTGGGACTGAGTTGCTTCCCATCGTGCGGCGGACAGGGTCTTCGGCGTACTCGGACGAAGTATGTTCGCCTAATCGTTTGAGATGACGACGCGATGGAAACTGGGTGTAAGTGGCCGTGTCCGAATTTTGCTCGGAAGGTTGGGCTATATAATTCAATCAAAGAAACTCTCAATTCTGGCTTTGGGATCATCAACTCAGTCTCTTTCCAGTTCATCAAGTCCTACTACTAAAGGCTCTTCACCCTCTACATTCTTTAAATCATATCACGCCTATCACTTAGATCACTAAACACTATTATTCAAGATGCGTTACACTCAGCTTCTCCTCTCTCTCTTCCTTCTCTTCACTTTCGTCATTGCTCTGCCCGCGCCGGCGCCGGTAGAAGCCGTCGCTGCGCAAGACGCCGCCGACAAGAACAAGAATAAGAATAATAACAACAACGGAACTAAGGGCACTAAGACGAAGACCAACAACAACGGCAACACCAACAAGGGCCAGACCACCAAGGCCACGAAGAACGGAACCGGAGGAAACACCAGGCCTACCGCTGACGAGTGCGCTGCTGCCAAGAAGCTGGCTACTGGTATCGACAAGAACATCTCCATCCAGAAGCAAGAGCAGAAGGATGTCGCTGCTGTGAAGAAGGCTGTTCAGTCTGGGAACAAGGGTCAGTTCGACCAGGCTAAGACCAAGCTCGTCGCTACTGTCAAGTCTGGAGCGGATGTCCGCGCCGAGAACCAGAAGATCGCTCCCAAGGGTAACGCCGCAATTCCGGGTCTGAAGAAGGTACGTTCGGACTTTTACCCCACACAGTGAAGCGGTAAAAAACAGCAATCTGACAAGTCATTATAGGTTCAAAACGCACAGGCTACCGAGTTGAAGCAGGCTCAGGGTCTCACGGGCAACAATGCTGATCTGGATACCATCGCCCAGATGGAGAAGGAATTCTCTGGAGGTATCGACCAGAACCAGCAGAACAAGAAGGATGCTCTTAAGGGTTGCTAAGCATCTCGAGACTGAATATGCTTGAGGACCGAAGGATAGGCTGCACGTCACTGAGCAGACTGAGGTTGGGAGCAATGGATAGCGTTGTATATGAAGGATTCTCAGTAAATATATAGTGAATGAAGCCAGTTCGGTACACTTTGACATTTTAGTGATGGGTTCACTCCGATTTCGAAACATTCGAGTGCTTCGATACTTCTGTTCTAGTACGGTGGTATCATTCTCCTGCAATCACCTTGAGCGTGACCTGATGCCGACTCATGCCAATCGCTCAGAGGCTTCAATACTTGAAAATTTGGAGACTGTTAGCTTGAGGCTGTTAGTCAATGTGATATAGGTTAGTATCATTGTACGAAGGCCAACAGGCTTTAACAGGTTGCCCTCTCTTCGAGGTGTTTAAGATCATGATACTTGTCAAGTTGTATGAGATGTTACTAACGGCTGTGCCGCTGTAATCGACGGAAGAATAACCTTCGGTGATTGCATAGCTTTTGACGGAGGTCTTCCAAATTTCTCATTACATGTTTGACTTCTCTCTGTCTCTGCTTAGCGTTGTTGAGAAGGAAGTTGATGCTGCGGTGCAGAGGCACATCTTCGAACAAAGTGGAGGCGATGCTGGATACTGTTGTACCTCATCAGGGTAACATAAATAAAATTTGATGCAGCCGTGGCCTCTGGGATTATTGAACACAGTCAAATTCCGGAGCATAACTCTTAAATAACGCCGCTTCTTGAACGAGAAGACCGAGTTGCTGAGACGCTCACTAGCATCGAAGCAGAAGCTGCAGCATTAGGTGCACCTATTGGTGCGATTCTTCAAGCTTCTACGGCCAAGATTAGCTGCTGGTAGGTTGCCTACTACAGCATGATAATGTACACAACATATGGATAATGGTTTGTTACAGATGAAGACTCGAAAGCTTCTTCGAGAGCCCCCTTCGGAGAGGGAATCCGCCATAGCAAAAGTTGACGCTTTGAAGCAGCCTTACTTCGGTGACACTCAACGTTAAACGGAGTTTTCTGGCAAGATACTAGAAACGAAAATCCAGTCTATCATGTTCAAAAACGAGGATGTAAGCTTTCTCCCATCGTGAAGAAGCTCTGTGTCTGATCTCAGAACTTATTGTAAGGTGAGTGCTCATCTCGGACTTGGTGAATCCACAACATGATAGAACGGATATTTATTCGTCATAGGAGATTATAAAGCTAGTTATCTAGATTGGCAAGGGGCACGCATTTTGAAGTTTGATCACTGATCGGCATCTCATGAATGTATCTCATTGGACGTCGAAACAGAAAGTTGAACTTACCTTTGGGCACTGGATAAATCTTATAACCTAAGCCTAAGACGAACGAGATAGCTCTCTTCGTTCATTTCTCCAAATGTAGTATTGAAATAGTATCGAAAGATGTGATGTCATCATAAAATCCACTGGCGTAGGCGAATGATTTCTCGCGGGTCAGGCTGATTGCCTGGGCTTGAATTTGAAAGTCGGCTCTTAGAGAACGCGATTGATTAGTGAGTGATGCCTGGCGACGTGAAAACTTCCGTATATAGTTGCTTTGAAACCAAGAATGATAGCTTTTGAGGGCGTAGACTCCAGCTTGCTGTTCCACAAGTAACTCTAAGCTGTGGCCATATGGGAGACAGCTAGTCACCATCCATGCAACTCGAGATAGCAGAACGTGCCGTGAAAGTGTCAATATTCAGCTTCCTTAAATTTTGACACAATCACGATTTGTTTCCGTTGAAATGGACTTAGCGAGAGTAACAGGTAAAGCTAGCTTGCTGAACAATCCCACCTCATACATAAGGATATCAAGCTCGGAGGCTTGTAACGCTCAACGAACCTGCTATACTGACTTTGTCGCGAAATAACTTCCGCGCCCAGCCGAATTAGTTTAGATATGGCCCAAATCGATGCTTGTCTGCCTCAAATCATTAGACGGTGCATTGTAATACCATGAGCCTTTCAGTCGTGGAGGGTCACTAGGTATTACTACACTTCCAACGCCCTTGGCAGGCAGAAAACCTTTACCCACATCACGCATCATCATCAAAGTTTTTTTTCATTGAGTACTGAAACAAAGGGGGCTAATATGAGGGTTAATTTGTGAACAGTCAAGATTCTCAGTCTCTCAAGTGCCTTGAAGAACCTTCCGCCTGAGCTCGGAATGCGACTGGTTTAGACATGGACGCATTGGCGCTCCGCTGAGCGCCATCAACAGGAATGCCCTCGCACCGTCGGGATAATCTTACATCTTCCTTCACTTAACAAAAAAAGATCCAATGTCTGCAATAAGACATCATCTATAGGTATACAAAAAATGCCGCGCGCGAAAACTTTCAATTCAAACTAAGGAAGCCTGGAAACAAAAGCGCGCAGATTATCTACTTGCCGTGTTCCCGAAGAAACAACACTTACATTATTCAGGGTCAGCAAACTTCGCCGGATCGCCTAGTAACCGTCTATTCAGGATGCCAAGTGCCGTGTTCCTGAAAGACAGCTCGGGCAGTTGCGGGCGGGAACGAACTCTCTTCTCTATCGGATGGACGTTGCGAAGAGAGTCATGGCTGTCTTTTTGGTAAACTCATCAATTCCCAAGGCCCTCCTCTCTACTCATTTCTGCCAAATTCCACCGAAAGGTACCACTTCTCCGCACTCCCCTCAAAAAGTCCGCAATAGCAGTTTATGCGTATGCGCCGTGCCTTCAAGTGGGCGATGGTTGCGGGCAAAGTCCACTAATTAGGCTTTTTAACTCGGTTTCTTGCGAGCCTAACCGGGTTGCGAGGGGGACAGTCTGCTGTCAATGCCGAAAAAGGGGGCATCTTAGTTTCCCTGAGGAGTCATGTTTCTCTCTGGCTTTTGCTGACGCTCAAGGGAGGCTGGTCTTGTCAGCAGGGGCCTGGAAGCACTTTGTCCCCCCCTCGCGTTAGAATTTCTCGCCTGCCAACTCTGACGCTCAGGAGCTTGCAACTTGGTGCAGTCCGGCAGTCGCAGTTTGGTAGGTGAGTGATCGCCTCCTCATAGCGTAACATTCCTGGCTGGTAATCTGCTTAAGATAGCCTTATGACTCGCAGATCTCTCACGTAGGAAGTTGTAGACGACTTGGCGTTGCTTGAGGTCCAGGGCCGATGGGCAAGGGGTTCTGCCCCGTAGCGCACCCAGAATAAAGACCCCGGCCGCCGAGCCGGAGATCTCGTCCTCAACTAGTGGCCGGATTGCTCAAGACTTGGGGGCGCCGCCATGGCGCGCCGTGGCGTTCCGGAGCACCGGTTCACTCATACCCACCATCCCGATCTTTCGCGGTTCCAACATCCAAACTGACGGCTTGGCACTGCAATCAGCGCTTGGTGTCGCCCCGATTATGATAGCTCGATGACTCGAGAATAACCCAAATTCCCAAATCGCTCTTTGCTTGAACTCTGCACAAAGTGCCGGTTCTCGTATCTCTCTAAGGATTAAAGTATTGGTTCCCTCTGAGCTTCTCGCCTTCTTGCTGCGCGAACGCCCGAACCCCCAGACAGGGTTTGTCGCAGGTTTCGCGAGTTGTGACCACGTCCACAACCGTCCGCACCGGAAGCAGAGCGGCTCAAGAACTTGCGACGTTTCACCCGCGTGGATCCCACCAAGCTTGTCTTGCTTTCGTACCTGGAGAGCCTCAGCAACGCTTGTTTCGCTCCAGGGATCACCCTCGGCTTATTTTCAACGATGGCAACTTGCAGTTGGTCGTGTGCAAAGAGAAGAACGGGGTACCACGTTAGCTCCCGTGGTTCCGGCCAACGGTTAGCCTCCGCAGACCGCAAGGATTATGGGAGGATGGCTTGGAAGCTATGATCGCCGGGTCATCAGCGTCGGATCATTGACATCTCTCTGTCAGCGACAAGGATCACATCGTCGTCGGGCTGAGGCCGAGTTGTGGTATTTGTAGTCGCAAGGCCGCCCATCTGGCCTTGACGCTGCATCGTCCGGTCTCTGCTCGCCTTGTCTCATCATTCATACCATCGTGCTGGTCACTCGTTTCTTTCAATCTTGTCTAATCCAAATACTGTCTTTTATTCAAAAACCGCGAGACTACCTGCACTTCCGCTTTCACAGGCCGATAAACAAACATCCCAAGTAATTACTTCAAGATGCGCGCTTCAATCACTGCCGCCACGGCGCTGCTCGCCGCTTTGGTTTCTGCTCATGGCAACATCGTCTCGCCTCCTGCCCGTGGTGTCGGCGCCGCAATGGCTGCAGCGTGTGGACAAGCGAACGTGAAGGCCGTGACGGCCGATCCCACCATTCCCTTGGAAGACTTCACCAACCCTCCTGCAACATGTAAGCAAGCCTATGGTACATGAGCGAATGACCCAAGTTACTAACACTCTACCCAAGGCCAACTTGATCTATGCAGAGGAGCCAAGTTCGAGGACAACAAGGCCAATGTCCAGACCTTCAAGGCTGGACAGGTCGTCAACATGAAGGCCGAGATCCCGATCCCCCACGAGGGCCCCATGAATGTCTCCATTGTCGATACCGCAACCAACAAGGTTATCGGACAACCTCTCATCGTCTTCGACAGCTACGCCGACGAGAACCTCGCGGCACTGCCCAAGAACAACACCGACTTTGACATCACCATGCCCTCCAACCTGCCCGCGGGCACCTGCGCTCAGGCTGGCCAGTGCGTCGTTCAATGGTTCTGGGTTGGCACTGCGGCGAAGCAGACATACGAAAGTTGTGTAGACTTTGTTATGGCTTGAGCGATTAGAGTATTGTCGCCTAGTTATAGAGCAATGGGAGGTTTTTTGAGCGCGTTTGAGCACGTAGATCAGCATCGCATCCCTGTGAATGCTGTACCATTTTGAAGAGCTTTTTTTTATTACACTTTAATTGTCCATGACAAGGAATGCGAAACACTTTATTTCCCCTTGATGTAACAAAGCTTCGTGGCACCACTATTGTGTGTGATGACTTTGTCATGGACGATCAGTCACTCATGTTTAAAATGACATCAAGACGTCCAATCCCCAAGTAATAGGTCGAGCGGCATATTTTCCATGAAGTCTATGGAAGACTCATTGAGTAGCATCCGCAGGCTTGGGTCCGCAGCATCGTCATCAAAAGCTGGTTGACTTTCACTATAGAAGGCAAAGTCATTCTCACTCGGCAGATCAGCAAAGCTCTGGGTCGGCGCGACAAAGTGGGACGCCGCCGGTCTCGCTTCAGCCTCATCTAACATTTGAGGAACCACGGATTGGAAGTAGGCTTGATCCAATCCCAAGTCCAATTGCGGTAGAAACTGGAACTGGTTGTGGATGCGATCCAGCATCTCCAGACATCTTTTCGCCGATCTGCTCTTCTGCGCCAAGGTCTTTAAGCAGGCGCGTGACTTGGAGACTGAGTGCTGCCATGCAAGTCTGTCGGTTTGGTCTGTGGAAGTGCTTTTGGTGAGATAGTTTGCTTCCAGGACTAGAGTGGCCTGGAAAAGAAAGTATGTCGCGTACCACACGATACCCTGGTGTAGAGAAACTTCATTCGCCATACAGAAAGTAGCAATATCATGAATGCTTTGCATAGCAACGTTCAGGCACTTCTCTTCCGCCTTCACTTTGGTGGGCAGGTAGCTGTGGTGTTGCTGACTGCCGCGCCAGAGGAGAATGCGAAGGTTCTGCTCTTTCCAGAGCACGACCGCTCGAGGCGCCCGGAACCACGATGGGCAGTCGGTCTGGGTGAAATATGCGGGCAAAGCTTGTTCCCAGCAGTTCAGATCTCGGTCCATTGTTTCGGCCACTCTGTATTCGACTTTTGTTCCGGCGGTTTTTGCCAGTAGAAACTCATGATACACAGCATCAGCAATTTTGGCTAGCTTTGCTTGGGCGATAATTGCTGAGTAGGTAGTTGGGTAATTGACCGGTGGCGGAACCGGTGCCTTGAGAGGCAGTTCCTAGAAGAAATGAGCAAATAGGAATCAAAAGAATCGAAACTTAGGAAGACAACACACCTTATCGTCGATATTTCGAGGAATCCGGGTATCTATGAAATCTTCTGACATCGCGGGTGGCCTCCCGGTGGTGATGTTAAAACCACTCTCGAAACAGTAGATAGTCCAGAAGAGCTGCCGTCGCCGCTCATGTCCTAAAGTATCTTCTAACCCTGGAGGTTCGCGATGAAGACCTAAAGCCAACGCCATTCTGTACGCCAAACCGCTAAAGTTGTAACCAGTATTGGTCCTATCTCTCTTCTGTAGGTAGTTGCTCATAAGCAAAAAGGCCTGAACTGTCTCGATGGTGCCAGACTCAAGCATCTGAAGAGACAGACTGGACCGCGCTACGCTGTAGTAGCTTGACTTCAGATGCTCTGACTCGGTGCTAGAGAGCCAGTGGCCGATGGCTAAAACCATTTGATAGACGACACGCCATGGTGAGTTCGTGGGCCGTTGACGACGCCCTGCTTCAACCCTTTCTCTGAAAATCCTCTCGTGAAGAACCGGGTAGGAGGTATTGTAGAGTAGGAAGTAGGCATCGATCAACCGGCCAGCGATGTATGACGATGGCAGATCGAAAGGCTCAGGTACCGCGAATCCGGCTGAACTGGATGATCTACGTTGTCTTTTACGATGCGATGTGTGGTGGTGAGTGGCTGGATGCGCAACGTGGATCACGGAGTCGATCTCCCCAAGCAACTGGGAACCGGAACTGCTCCCTAAGAGTTGATGTTAGGCATCGCTCATCGGTCAACTGTCCTCCGCAGGCCATTCTAGAACATGGCTAGGCTTACCTAAGTAACCAGAGTCGTGGGTTGGTAGCATGGCCATTCCGTCATTCTCGTGGCCTGAAGATTTGAACTCTGGCGACAGCGACCCTTCGTGCCATTCGTAGCTATGAGGTGTGACTTCATCCGAGTCTCCCAGCGGGGAATGTAACGAGCCGCTTCCGTCATCATCTTCATTTCCTACTGACTCCTGCTGGTTCTGCGTCTCTCCGAGGGCTGAATTGATGTCAAGCTCCGGGTTCAAGGATCTGATGAGATTCTGGAGCTGCTTGCACCGGAGCTCGGCTGCGTCGAGGTTCTTCCGGGTCAGAGGCGTCCGATCAGGGGGCTTCTCAAAGCTGCACGTCTTGCCTGTTTTGGCGCAGTACGAACATGGGTCGTTGGCTGCGCTGCCTCTCATGCATCGGCTTTTGCGCTTCTGGCAGTTGACGCAGGCCCGGACGGTGCTTGGATTGGGACATCGGCGGCTAGAGTTCGGCATACTTCGTTCTTCAACGTTCAGTCCTTGTCATGAATAGTTCGACTCATGTGGAACATCGGGGGCCAGAGGGCCGAAATTGAGCTCAAATATGGTTTATCGTCTCTGCAGAAATCTCTCGAGGCTGCGTGGGACATCTCAGGTCTCTTTGGAGAGTCTTAAGATATTATCAAGCTTGCATACGCCTCATCAGACAAGTTGTCAAACTTCGAACTTTTGCTCTACCCCTCAAGACGTTGTCCTCGGAGCACAGTCGCCCGATGTACGCCACTCAAAAGCCACAAATGCGGGATGAATTGCGGGGGAGCTGGGTGGGGAATGCGGCTTGCCTCACAGACCATCCCAAGAGAGACGGACATTGCCAAGAGCTTTGATGATGGCCCCGTTTGTATGAGCAGAGTGCTTCCGCCTCCCAATATCATAGTACGCCAATATTGTCCGTGAAACGTAGAAAGTCGGCGAAGATGGCTGCGTAGATCAAATAGTGTCAAGCTTGTTAGACTCGAAGTACGACCCAAATCTTGCCATCTTCCTTGTCACGATTCTTATACTAGGAACGTGGCATGTTGACCATCAGGAACTGTTGGGGCGGGAACGTGCAGAGTGTTTTAGATGTTCTTTTCATTAATATTAATTATTGCTTGATATTTGAAGTCTAGAGCCAAGAGTCTAAGAAAAATTAAGGAAATCACCCCCTATCACTAAAACGCCACGCCATCTTTCTAATGTTTAGATCTGAAACCATAACGAAATTGATTGCTCGATTCGCTTATGCAGGGATAATGATCAAATCAATGATAGTGCAGTAGCTGAGAGGTGCAGTCGCGCCGGAGAAGGCGTAGATGTGCTGGCCAGAGCCCGTGTTGCCGTCGCCGACCTTGCTCGCCTGGCGGATGCAGAACTGGTAGGCCTTGCCATTGGACTTCATGAAGACCTGGGAGTTGCCGTTGGCGAGAGTGGTGTAGGAGAAGATCTTCATGGCGCTGCTCTTGTTGTTGGACCAGTAGAGCAAGCTGTAAGTGGACGAGGTGTCGATGTAGTAGTAGGCGTTGTGAGTGACAGAGTAGAGGCTGCCGTCTGCGGCCACAATGAAAGTCTCACGGCTGCCCTGCTTGTACCAGTTGTCGGTCATGTGGGTGGCATCGTCGGACAGGGCGTACTGGGAGTTGGGGTTGACGATGGGGTTGAGGCTGAGGTAGCCGATGGTACCAGTAGGAGCGCTGGCGGCGACGTTGATGGTGGTAGTAGAAGTGACAGTCTGGACGACGATGACGGTGCTGGTGGCTGCAGTGGTGGTGCTCAAAGCCGCGCCGCTGGTGATAGTCTGGACAGTGGTAGCGGAGGCGGTCATGGTGCTGGTTACGGGGGTGGCGAGCAGAGAGCAAGCAGAAGAGACGACATCGGCTGGAGAAAGCAGTTAGTATCAAGCGGGTTGAGACAGAGGAGAATGTAACATACCAGAGAATCCGGAAAGACCAGCGGGGGTACCATCGCGGCGAGCCTTTCTAAGAGTGGTGGTGTTGGAAGGAGTGACATCGGGAAGGGCAACAACATCGACGAAGTTTCCGTCATCATCCTTGGTACCGTTGACGAGAGGCTCATCGCGGGCCCAGAGACCACGTCTGACCTTGATGGAGTGGTCGAGGGGAGTGGGATCATCGTGGAGGCAAGTAGTGGTGGGACGGGGAGGCAGGTCACGCTTGAGCTGCTTGGTGACGGCAACCAGCTGGGTGGTGGTGCTGTAAGAAGTGGTCAAGGGAGTGACAGTCGAGACGACCGTGGTGGCAGGGATGGTAGTGAAGTCAGTCTCGGTGGCGGTGGTGACCGGGGTCGTGTAGCCGAGGAGAGAAGAGCAGTAAGGCTGAAGGCTGGAGGTGACAATGGCAGAGCTGGCACTGGCGACGGCGCAGGGGATTCTGGGCTTGCCGGCGTCCGTGGCGTTGGTGTAGGAGAAGCTGTAAGAGATGGTGTAGTGGTCACTGCCGCGCCATTGGCCGTTGTTGACGGCATAGCTGTTGTCCCAGGACTTGGAGTACAAGGAGCAGTACTGTCCCTCGGGAACTCCATTCTTCAAGACGAAGAAGGTGTTGAAGAACTGACAAGTCTGAGCAGGGGCGTTCGCGGGAGGGTGAGCAACGTTGTACTCGGACTGAGCGGTACAAGCAGCAGCGCAGAGCTTAGGATCGAAGGGGCCGTCGGTGAAGATCTTGGAACCCAAGAAAGTGTCGTATCCAGCGCAGTCGAGGGGAGCGTTGATGGAGTTATCTCCCAAGTAGACGGCGGAGCTGTAACCGGCCTGGTCATCGGCACGCTGGGCAACGTAGCCGTTGGATCCGGCAATCACAACCTCGAACTGGTTGCGCCATTGGCCGCGGTTGGTCGCGGTGTTCTCGTAGACGGGACCACCCCAGAAGACACACTTGATGACATTGGTGCTGGCCGGGTTGGGGCAGGCATCGGCGGGTTCCTAAATGGAGTCAGAGTCTGGTTGTTTGTGTTGATAAGGTTCAAGACTTACAATAGAGGGATCACGCTCGAAGTAGATGTTGAAAGCAACACAGCCGTTAATGGCATCGCACTTGGAAGCGCAAGCCTGAGTGTCATAGCTAGTGAGGGTAGTGTAACCCATGTAGCCATAGGCACTGCTGGATCCCTGCAGGTTCTTGAAGGTGTTGAAGTAACCAGAGGGAGTGGCAGCATTGTTGGCAGCCGACGAGAGGTCTGTGTCGCTCAGGAAAGCGGCCGAAGTGTCTGGGTTGGAGACGGGGCCGTATCCGACGGGCTGAGGCTCGCAAGCGGAGCGCTCAACGAGACGCTTCTTCTCCGACTTGACAGGCGCAGTCTCCTGGGGAAGCGGGCTGGCCTTGACCTCGGCGACGACACTGGCGGCAGCAGCGTTGGCATCGTAAGGAACGACAGTCGGGGAAGCACCAATGGGGACGGTGGTGTGAGGCGGCTCGGGAGCATCGTCAATGACCTGCCAGACAAGGTCTTGGGCCTTGGCGAGCGCGACAAAGGCGCTGATGATAGGAGCAGAGCGCATTTTGATTGATCTATGTCGAACAAGAGAAGTCGATCGAAAGAATGAGCTTTCAAGGATCGGAGCTCAAGGTATTAAGAGAGTGAAGAGGAGCGAAGAGGCTTGAGTTGACTGATGAGATATTTTGTCGATAATGGCGGATATTTCAGTTCCTTATGTACTCATCCCACGACGCCTCTGACCTCGCAGTCTAGCCAAAGCTTTTTACTCTTCCGTTCGCCAATACCGCACTTGCGACGACAACAGTGCGCAGCTCTCTCCACGGCTCGCTTCATCTTCACGATGCATACAATAGTGTTGATGCTGAGTGCTCATTTCCACATCACGCGGCCGGCAAGAAGCGGTGGACAACTAGGCCCGGAGCTGGACCACGGAGCTGTACCTTGGGATTGGGAAAGGCGGCCGTATCTTGTTCGCTCTAAAGGCCCTTGCTCCCCTGCTAGACAGCATTTCCAGACTGTTGGTAACAGATTCTGGACCCCTAAGGCCGCACAGATGGCTGTATTGGGCTTGAGTCGCTGGTGTTCTTGGGTCAGGTCGATGATAGATCCACGTGGGTTGAGCGTGGAGCCGCCTTGCCCGTTGCTTGATTGAGGAATTCAGCTCGCAACGGGAGTTGTAGCTGAGAGTCCACGGACCCAAAACAGCAGATTTTACCTAGCTCAACCCCTCGTGCCTGGTGGAGATCCCCAGCTTGCGTAGGAGTCTGGACTCGGATATGCAGGGGTTGACAGCAGGGGTAACGGGCGGCTGACGATCAATAGTCCAGCAAAGTGGTGAGAGACCGCTTGTTGACCTATGATGTTGCTTCGGCAGATGAGAAAATTTGAGGGACAGTCCCTGACTACTCTGCATCGTAAGGCGCTAAGCGAGTAGACGCCATGCTTTTGATATGTTAGTCCTACGGTGTTACCGACGGAACGGACGACGAGGATGCGCTGTGCTCCTGAGTCCTATCGCATGTCGCCGATCAATCTATTGAGCAGCTAAGACCAAAATAAGCTTCCTGGGAAACCCAAAAAGATGGGAAAGCGATTATCGATGTGGTCCCACACAAGTGGATGCCGGGGAGAAGTCTGGAACAAAGAAGTGCACAGCATAACATGCCTAGGAAACATTACGCGATCTTCCCGCTCGGATTTTCCCATGAGTATTCGGAGGCATCCAAATTTTCCGGTGCTTCTCGACTAGAGTAAGATTCGATTGAGCTGATCAGGTGAATTTCAGCTTCGGATATATTACTGTTTGTGCCACAAGCTTCACTGTTATCAGATTCTCGGGCAGGAGTTGGCCTTTAGGAAAGAAAATGCCTCAAAGCATCTCAAGACATGTGTTCATATCGTCAGTTGACAGGGTGTTTCCGGTCTTGCTCTTCGATGAACCCTCATCTAAGTACATCGAAACTTACTACATTTCCGATCTTACATATAAGGCCATCTGAATTCTAAAACTTTGCTCAAGACTGAACTGTTGCGATGATGAAGCAGAAGCCATGCATCAATATTACCACAGCAGTTGCCACTCAAAACCGCAATGTGCGAAGAAGCGAAAAAGTAGAAGTGAAGTTATCATGAGGTCCAGAAAGGGCAAGGTCCGCGCCGATCGTGGCGCCGGTCTACACTAGACTGCCGCGAAAGCGAGTACGGAAGAAATTTTGCCGATCTCGACTCTGATTGCACAGATGATGAGTCGATGCCAGGTACTAGCGCGACTAGCGACAGTCCGGCTGAGCACTTGTGCCCAAGTAGGACTGGACCCCAGTGTTCCTGGCTTCATGGGCTTGAGGGCGTCGCCATCTTCGGGAGGCCGCGCGGTCGCTTCCGTCACATCCGCTTTCACAAAAGCCATGTTGAAGTCGCCTACTTCCGCCTCCTGAACGGTTTCGCAGCTTTTCTCGCTAAAGTTTGAACGACTCTGATCTCGCTTCACATACAACTATTACCTACGAAGGACAGCAGACAGCATGCCACTATTGCTCGCATGTATGTAAGAACGTGAACGACTTCGAGGGAAAGCACCGGAACGAGCCGACTTACCTCCCTTACCTTTGCTTCATGATTTTGTACGAAATTTTGCTGTTCCCTTTCAGTGCACGAGCCCAGATAGAACGCCGAGCTCGGCACCCACTCCCGCCCTTCGCCGTTTCGACTTGGCAGCCTAGAATCTCGTGGCTTGAACTGTCAAGCCACAACGCCTGATGAATAACGCAATGAGGAATAGACGCAGTTCCATCGGCAGGGGCGACAATATTGTGGCTTGCTGTCAGAGTGCTAAGCCAGAGAGACTATGAAGTACGACGGACAAAAGCCTCCAGTCTGTTGTATGCCGCGCGTATCGAACGGCATCTCGATGATGAAGGATTAATCCAAAATAGGTGAGGTTTTCACAAATAACATAACGCTCGAAAAGGGCCAGTGCGCGCAGCATTGCATTTTGTGACTTCCCAAGTTGCATGCCTGGTGTCCAAAGTCGCCATGTTGCGGTGTGGCTTGGATCACAGGCAGAATCAGATAATGAGGCATTAAGGGGTTAACGATAATTACCATAGAACAAATTGGTTTTATCGCCTAGGAAATATGTGTTTTAGGGGAGTCCCTCATTAACTTCCCAATGGAATACTTCTTTCTTGCAAACCCATGAGGTGTAATGGGCCATAACTTAGCCTCTTCAACCTACCATCATCTAGCGAATTAAGCAATATTCGATTTTGGAGAACCGTGAATAAAATATCGTAACAATACGAGATTATTTTCTGGATATGGTCCTCCGCATCTTATGTATGTTCCTAGACGTGAAGGGAAAAGTGTGCCGCCTTCTCCTCCTGCAAAGACTTCTTTAACTCACCCAACATGTGTATGGTCAAAAGATCTGTGACCATGATGTTGAATCAGCGGCAGAATTGGTGTCACCTTCAATTTTCGGTCATTACGGTAGATCGAACATTACCTACCTAAGCTGTGCACACAGTGCATCCGGGACCAACGGCATTGGAAGGGAGCTTGATGACACCAGACTTCCTGCCTACCATATTCTCATCTTTGACTACTGGACCAAAAGAGCATCTTTGTAGAGGCTTCTACCAGAGCAGCTGGACGTAATCCTAATGGATCTTCATCGGGAATATGTTGTCTTCAAGTATTACCAACACGATGGGAATTAGTCACACTAGAAATCAGCCTGGAGCTAATTGACAAGAATTCTGCTCGAGTTTCATGTCAAATCGAACGTGTTCGTAACCTAATTTTGGCGGGAGACAAACGAGGCTGCGGTAACCACCGCTCTCATTGTGAAGTCCGAAAACGGAGCCGTGACATAAGTACCTTATGACATTAAGACCCGGGTGTTGAACTCAAAACGGGGTGAAAGCTGATCTTTCTCGGATGTTGATGGAAGGATTGGGTCTAATGTTAATGAAGAAAGCATGTCGGGTAGAACAACGCCGACAAACTACAAGTTGGAGTCGTCCGATGAAAGCATCCTCGTCGCCTCCACCTTCGGAGCACAGCGCGCCGACAACAAGATTCAGGCTTGCGGCACCGTGGTAGCATCCACTTTCCCCAGTTTCCCCGGTCATGGCAAGAACCCCAGAGAGTCTGACGTGGGTCGTCTGGGGGGCAATTCTCCGATGATGCGTTACGTCTTCTTCATGTATAATCATGCTCTTTGCTCCTGCAGCTGCAAGTCCTGACCTCTTGTTTCTTGGACTATCAGGCTCCTACTTCTACCCTATCAATAAGATACTATGGTCGACATGGAGATCTCGTATGGCGCAGCTGGTAATACAAACCCAAAGTATTGGCCTGAATGACGAGCGTCACTAAACATCATTACTAGGCTACAAAGGTCTCGTTCACGAGCCATACATCTTCTTTCTCGCATGTTTTGCAAGCATTGGTGGTGTGTTATTTGGGTAAGTTTTCACGCGGCCTCCTGGCCTCTTTGATGAAAAATCAAATTGAAATGCAAGACTGATTGAGGCTCCTCCAGTTACGACCAAGGCGTAATCAGTGGCGTTCTCGTGATGAATAATTTTGTCAGTCTGCGTTCAACTCCTTTGCCGCCCGTGGGTCTCAACAACCTAACGCCTATCCCTACAGGCCAAACAATTTCCAACGCTCTCCGAAGATGCGACTCTCCAAGGGTGGATGGTGGCAGTACTCACACTGGGAGCAATGGTTGGCGCATTGGTTAATGGCCCAATTGCTGACGCCCTGTCTCGTCGCTGGACTATTCTCCTGGCCAACATCATCTTCCTCATCGGCTCGATCATCCAAGCTGCGTCGATCAACATTCCCATGATATTTATCGGCCGCTTCATTGCCGGGTTGTCGATCGGCCAGTTGTCCATGGTTGTTCCCCTATACCTGAGTGAGCTCGCGCCGCCAAACCTTCGAGGAAGTCTGGTCGCGCTTCAGCAGCTTGGCATTACAGTGGGAATCATGATTGCTTTTTGGCTAGATTACGGGACCCAGCATATCGGAGGTACAGGTGACGGCCAGTCTCCTGCAGCTTGGAGACTCCCGCTCGCTCTCCAATGTGTGCCCTCAATAGTACTTGGAGCTGGGACCTTCTTTTTACCATACACCCCGCGTTGGCTTTTGATGAAAGGTATAAATGATCGGAACCTTAGGCGACTAGCCGTATACTTACGTTAAACCACTAGATCGCGAGGAGGATGCGCTTGCCACCCTTGTCCGCATCCGGCGTGTCCCCCCAACAGATGCTCGGCTTAAGCTCGAGTTGACAGAGATCAAGGTCGCAGCCCGATTTGACATCGAGACAACCGCCGAGTTGTTTCCTGGCGTCACTTCACGCCTGAAACTCACGTTGGAGAGATACAAGTCGCTATTCGTTGTTCGCCATCTCAATCGTCGCTTGGTGATTGCCTGCCTCCTTCAACTCATACAACAATTTACCGGTATGTCCTATATCTGATTTGATTTTACTACTTGGTTGTATCCAAAGTCTGGTGGTAATCTCAGCGTCTTCTTAATGTATGACTAACAACAAGGCGAGGCATCAACGCTATCATCTATTATTCGCCGACAATCTTCCGGAACATAGGACTCTCAGACAACTCCATAGATCTACTAGCAACTGGTGTCGTTGGGGTCATTAACTTCTTCTCCACCATCCCCGCCATCATGTTCATGGACAGATTGGGGCGGAAGAAAGTCCTCCTCATCGGCGGAGTTGGCATGGGGGTTTCCCAACTCATTGTTGGAACTCTTTATGCTGTCTACAAAGACAGCTGGGCAAGCAATAAGTCAGCTGGGTGGGCTGCTGCGTTCTTTATATGGGCCTACATCGCCAATTTTGCTTTCAGCATCGGATGCGTCAACTGGATTGTGCCTTCGGAGATCTTCCCGCCTGGAGTCCGATCCCAAGCGGTTGGTCTTGCGATTGGAACCAATTGGCTGAGCAACGTAAGTCAACACGAAATGCTGATAGTCTTGCACGCAATGCTCACATTCAAAAGTTCATCGTTGCTCTCATCACTCCCCGAATGCTCGAGGCGATCACATTCGGCACATTCTACTTCTTCCTGGGTAAGTCAGAAACTCCTTGGACTGTTGAGTGCATGAGTTAATACTAATTTGTCAGCGTTCTGTGTAATTCTCATTGTATGGGTCTACTTCTTCGTTCCCGAAACCAAGGGAGTTCGGATCGAAGAGATGGACAAGCTTTTTGGTGGTAATCAAGGAGAGGCGGACATGACCAGAATGGCAATTATCAGGCAACAGTTGGGATTGATTCAAGGGGATGAGTTGACGAAAGAAGTTAGTATGGGAGTGAGCGAGGTGGAAAAGGCATGAAACATCGATATCTAATCTATTCAGTGTTCGACTCGAGCTACCAAGCTCTGAGAAGTTTGAATTAGTGATTAATGTCGAAGATAGCCTTCTATACCTGGCCACTTCGTACGCCATAATCAGGGGTGCTTAGGAGGCTGTACATCCAGCCTGCATGCCTAGAGGATAGCACATTCGGGGGGAGTCTAGGTGTCTCTTTGCCTTGATAGTGCGTTCCATCATGAGCCAAATGATGACCGGTAAAACTCCTCCTGGAGTAGGCACGACAACAAGATTGCTAATGTCGTGCACTCCAGGATCCAAATCACCCATTTTGGTCTTCACATCAAAACCGAGGTCAACTACCAGCTTAACCCCAGATCCAATCATGTTCGGTTTGATGGATCCGCCCTCGTTCCGTTCTGTCATAATAACGAAGTGGCGCTTGGAGTCCTTCCAGTCGATGCTATCCAGTTTACCATCGATCGCTTCCAGGATTTCGACGTGGGGAAGATGGCGCATCAAGTCCGCCTTGAAGCCTGACGTGATGATGTTAGTGCCTCCCACCAGGACGATGGTCAGGTCGAGCATCCAGGCTTTTTGGTAGGCGTCAAGTAGCCGTCTCAGGGCATCCGCTGCAATATTGGTCGCATATCCCTTTGCGTATTCCTCAATGTGCTTTTTGGTGTAAATGCTACCCATTATTTCGCGTTCCTCGAGATGGTGTGGTAGAGGTCGCTGTATTAGAATGCCATGGGTGGTTTCGTCTTCATTCAATTCCGCAATTTTATCGAGCGTCTCATCGGCCGAGGCGTCAGGTGGAAGTCGATGTGATATGTATCGAATTCCAGCCTAAATAGTCTAATGTTAGTTCAATCCTCTCAATCCATGCTAGGTAGAGTGATGTATGTACCTTAGCAGCCACCTCGGCTTTGATCTGCAGGTACTCTTTCGCATCGCTACCAGTGTCGAAGTATATTACCCCTAGCGTTGGTTCAGTACTATCCCGCGATCTGTGTCGGTAGCACCATCGCTCTATGTCCGCAGACACAGGGAACCCTTTGAGAAGAGAAGCGCCGGGGACATGTTCGAAAGTAGGCTGAGATTCGTGCTTCTCAACAATCATGGCATCCCCTCCAAATGTGCTCAAAGACATGGCGAAGCGCGATGCACTCCAATCAGAGGCACAGACAGACAGCCACAGAATCGAAGAACCAGCTACGAACCCAAGCTCCTTTGATGGCAAGTGTCAGAGGCGACAGCCCGATTTTGATGTTCTGCAAGACGCGTCGAGCATGGGGGTAGGTTGCCTGGCGCGACGGGCCGCACTGCTAAATGAATGTCTCAGAATCCCCGACTGAAGACGTCGATCTCGGTCTGCAAGAAGCCTCAGCAGCTAGCGCCGGTGGGGGTGTGTCACACGGGAACGTCCAAGATCTTCATTCGTTTGTCGTTTTCGAAGTGAAGACAGTCGCGTCATTCTGCAGCGAGCCTATGTATTCCTTCGGCTGTGCTGGATGCAAGCCAAGCAAGTCTCGTTTGGGGCATATGATGCGAAGAAGACGGATACCCCAAGCTGCGAAGGATTGGGTCTTACTATTATACAGATGATTTACGTATTCGCGATGTTCAATCGAGTCTACTCTATGTACTTCCATCCAGATCAAGCTTCGGTACGGTCGGTGGTGCTCTGCTTGCCGCGCCCAAAGATCTTGCTTGAAAGCTTTGAACACCATCTCGTCATCGTCGCAATCCCAAAAGACCATCCCCGGATTCTAACAGTGTAAACAAAGAAGTACACAAGAGCCCAGTTGGCAACGGCAAAGGCAACCAAGATGCCAAAAGCTGGCCACTTATCGCTGTTGTGGACATTGAGCGTCTGCATGTACTCGCCGCCGTTATTGTATGGACAGTAGCCGCAATTGGACGTCGCGTTAGGGTCCTCCAGGTAGCCCGTCATCGCGACCTCATTGACGAACCGGTCGGCGTATTGGCCACAGGTTGAGCCTGGAGGCGGATTGAACCTGGCAAACTCTGTGGAGCTACACTGCACCACTGCCGGTGGGAGGACGGCCGAGAGGACGCCTCGGCTGAACCAGGTTGTTGGGTTGATGTAGTACATCCAGTACCTCCAGAATGAGGGCATGGAGGCATAAGGCACTAGGATACCGTTGAAGATGGCGATCATGACGAAAAAGAAGGGCAGGATCTGTTGTTGTCAATGTTAGAAAGAAATCGGAGCACAAGTATGGTTCAGTTACTTACGTTCGACACGGTGGAGTATGAGGGCCCGAAGGCGGAAATCCACTGGCCCCAGCTGGATTGGAACAGAGACCAGACGAGAACCATGAGATAGGTGTAGCCAGAGACAGACGAAGTAGCGGGGAAGCCGACGGGAAAGTACCACAGCAGCCAGTAGATGGTGGCAGATACGATAGCCATGGGGATTTCACAAACAACGTTGGCTGTGCAGAATGCAATCCAGCCATATGTGCGACTAGGCAGTTCGCGGTCTTCCCACAGATCTCGGTTCTGGAAGAACTTGATCACGACGCTGTTGACAACTGTGGGAGGTACGAAGAAGATGAGAATAATGGCACTGAACATGCGGTTCTGCATGCCTGCGATGTCGTTTCCAAGCATCCAAAATGTCTAAGAAGAAGTTAGTACCTGCCACAATTCAGGAGAGAACCAGTTGCCAAACTTACGAATCCGTTGAAGATACCCATGATCGTATGCACAAATACTCTGCTATACATGTACTGGGGCTCTCTCCAGTGTTGAACAAACATCCTCTTCGTGAGAAGGAGGCACTGGTAGGCAGTCGAGGCCGCAAACTCCGTCTGCGCCGTCGACCTCTCTGGCGGAGCCCGTCTCTCGGCAGTGATCTGATCGATTTCTGCAACAATGGCACTGTGCTCCTCCGAATTGCGCCACTCCTCGTTCCAGTCGATGCGCTGGCCATCTTTGATCGATGGTTGCGATGCCGTCTCGAGGATGAACTCAGCGACGTTGCGGCTTGGTGGGCAAGGAAAGCCTCTCTGTGTGAAGTAGTCGATGACAACTGAGCCATTGGTGCCGACGGGGCCAAAATAGAAAGTGTTGCCGCCTCGGTTGAGGGCCAAGATCATGTCGAACTGCTCGATGAGATCGGAAGAGGGCTGGTGAATTGTGCAGATGATGGCTTGCCCAGCGTCGCATAGCTTTCGGAGGAATCGGACAATGGAGAATGCAGATTGGCTGTCGAGACCACTCGTGGGCTCATCGAGGAAGAGCAGGAGACTTGGTTTAGCAGCTAGTCGTATGTCAGTTGAGGTTCCCAGGTGAAGCGAGGACTTCATCAGATAGAAGGCTTACCGAGTTCAACTCCAATCGTGACTCTCTTCCTCTGCTCCACGGTCAAGGAAGATATGATGGCGTGCTGCAAATCACCCAGTTCCAGAAGGTGAATGATCCGATCCACGTACGCAATCTTCTCCTCACGAGGGATCGCACGTTCCTGCCGGAGAAGCGCAGAAAACTCCAATGCCTCTCTGATCGTGGCGGTACCTTCGTGGATGTCTCTCTGCTCACAGAAACCAGTGCCTCTCTGGAACTCGGGCCCCAGGCTAGCCCCGTTCACAAGCATATCCCCCGTAACGACACCAATCTTTTGTCTCTGGGCGATGGTGTTGAGAAGAGTCGTCTTGCCAGCGCCCGAGCTGCCCATCAGCGCAATCATCTTCCCAGGCTTGGCATATCCGCAGACGCCGTTCAAGAGTTGCCGTTCGCCGTTGCCGTAAGGGACTGTGTAGTTGATGGCCTTGAATGTGAAAACACTTTGGCCGTCGCCGATGGGCTCAAATGCCTCGTCGGTCTCTTCCGCAGGCCTGCTCTTCTCGTTGTCCACGTTCTTGTCATCACGGGGTTTCGCGAAAATCAGGGACTGGGCACCAGATCCCTTGAAGCGAATCGTGTCGACAGCCAGAACGGTCATGGCGAGGAAGAAGACGGTGAAGGCGATCATAATGCCAAAGTTACGCCATAGGTTCGCTCTCGAGCTACATATTGTCAGTGTGAACCTATGAGGGAGAAACTGGTATGCGAATCTTACTATTGAAACGAAGCCTGTAGATAGTCAGGACCGCTGACGATGGTGCTGCCCATGGTCGAGCCAGGAAGACTACAGCCTTGATAAGTGGGATCGGATCCGGGGCCGCGTGGCACGAGCTGAGACTCGCTGCATTGCATTTCTCGTCCAAAGAACTCGTTGGCTTGAAGGGCTTCAAATCCGTATGCTACGGGATTGATGTAGTAGATCCAGCCGAACCAGATGGCGTCGCTGAGGAGATTGGGTTTGGGGATGACATATCCCGTCATGATGAACATGATGTTGAGGACTGATATTGTCAGTTAGATTGATCTTTGAGAGAGTTACTGAGCCGGATAAGCGGACTTACCGACGCCAACAAACCGGATAGAATCGTCAACGGTGGATGAAAGTGAGGCGAACATCCGGTACATGGTTGTTAGACAAAAGGTAGCCGTGTACACGATGAGTGTGTAGATCCAGAATTTGGAGGCGTCAACGTCGAATTGCGCCAAGAAGTAGACTGGTACGGAGAACAAGACCGTCATGATGAGGATCAGTGGGAAGTCCAAGAGCATCCTCGCAATGACCACAGCAGATGGCCTGTAGAACGCAAACACTCTCTGCCTCTCAATCGTCGTTCTACCATCAATCGCAGGGACGAGTTCTGCAAACTGAAGCCATCCGATAAAGGCAATCGAGAAGAAAGCCACACCGCCTCTCGCAAAGACGGAAGACGTGTCCTGTCCGGAGCCGTAGAAAAGCGACGAGACGATGAGACTGTTGGCAATGATGATGGCGAGCTTCGTGTAAAAGGAGCTCCGGTCACCCCACAGGAGCCATGCCTGGCGCTTGGTGCAGGCAGCCACTTGTTTGAAAAATGAGACGGTATAGATGGAGTCGCCGATGACAGTCTTGCTCTTTGCGTCCTTGACGGTCGCTGCGAACATTCGGT